TGAGGCAGGAGAATCGCCTGAACCCAGGAGGCGGAGGTTGCGGTGAGCCGAGATTGCGCCATTGCACTCCAGCCTGGGTAACAAGAGCAAAACTCCGTCTCAAAAAAAAAAAAAAAAAAAAAAAAAACATAGAAAAATGTTCTAGAAAACAATATAATGAACATGTGTTTCCCGTTATTAGTCAGAGCCTAAAGAAATATATGTCACTTTTCATCTTATTTTTGTCAGAGTAAGTCGCCCGCATGCTGTTTTTCCTACTGTAATAATTGCAAATTAATACTAGGCCGGGCGTGGTGGCTCAAGCTTGTAATCCCAGCACTTTGGGAGGCCGAGGCGGGTGGATCACGAGGTCAAGAGATCGAGACCATCCTGGTCAACATGGTGAAACCCCGTCTCTACTAAAAATACAAAAAATTAGCTGGGCATGGTGGCACGTGCCTGTAATCCCAGCTACTCAGGAGGCTGAGGCAGGAGAATTGCCTGAACCCAGGAGGCGGAGGTTGCGGTGAGCCGAGATCGCGCCATTGCACTCCAGCCTGGGTAACAAGAGCGAAACTCCGTCTCCAAAAAAAAAAAAAAAAAAAAACTAATACTAAAAGAAAAGGTATGTTGAAGCCAGTGGGTTGGTTGGAAAGGGGAATCACACTTGAAGTGACCTACACAGGTGAGTTTCTCACTTCCCAAGCCCATGCATGGCCTTGCCCGTAGGCTGGCCCTCAGTTGCAGGGCTGTGCTGTGGGGGTTCTTGCAAAGGCAGCAGAAACTCAGGAAATCTCCATCTTTCTGCCTAGGGTTCCAAAATAGAGCTACACAAATGTAGTCAATTAATGTTTGACTCAAGTGCAAAGGCATTTAATTCAGTGGAGAAAGGGAAAGTATGGCATGAGGATGATTGGACATCTGGATGCAAAAAAAGAAACTCCACTCTACTTTGCACATTATGTAAAAATTAACGTAGATCATGGGTCTAAAAGTAGCACCTAAAACCTAAAAGCTTGTAGAAGAAAACAGAAAACCTTTCTGATCTTGGGTTAGGCAAAGAGTTGTAAGACACAATAATAAAAGGGTGATCCATAAAAGAATTTTTTTTTTTTTTTGAGACAGATTCTTGCCCTGTCTTCCAGGCTGGTTGCACAATCTCGGCTCACTGCAACATCCACCTCTCAGGATGAAGTAATTCTCCTGCCTCAGCCTCCTGAGTAGCTGGGATTACGCGCACCCACGACCATACCTGGCTATTTTTTGCATTTTTTGTAGAGATTGGGTTTTGCCATGTTGGCCAGGCTGGTCTGGAGCTCCTGACGTCAGGCAATCCACCTACCTCAACCTCCCAAAGTGCCAGGATCACAGGCATGAGCCACCACACCCGGCCAAATTATTTTTTTAAGCTGTGCCAAACTGAGTGGCAGAGGAGGTGAGCAAGGGCAGGTGTCATGCACTGCTGTGGGAATGCAGACAGTGCAGCTGCCTCGGCAAATTGTCTGGTAGTTTCTCATGAAGTTAGATGTGTCCTTACAATACGGCCTGGCAAAACCACGCCAAGGCATTTACCCAGAAGTCATGAAAACATGTTTATACAAATGCTCGTATGCAAATGTTTGTGTATAGTGGCTTTATTAATAATTGTGTAGGCCGGGCGCGGTGGCTCAAGCCTGTAATCCCAGCACTTTGGGAGGCCGAGGCGGGTGGATCACGAGGTCAAGAGATCGAGACCATCCTGGTCAACATGGTGAAACCCCGTCTCTACTAAAAATACAAAAAATTAGCTGGGCATGGTGGCACGTGCCTGTAATCCCAGCTACTCAGGAGGCTGAGGCAGGAGAATTGCCTGAACCCAGGAGGCGGAGGTTGCGGTGAGCCGAGATTGTGCCATTGCACTCCAGTCTGGGTAACAAGAGCGAAACTCCGTCTCAAAAAAAAAAATAAATAAATAAAAAAAATAATAATAATAATTGTGCAAAACGAAACAATACAAGTTTTTCAGCTGGTGAGTAGATGCACAAACTGAGGTATGTCCATCCATAGCAACCAAAGAAGTGTGTTACTGATACTTCCAGCAACATGAGTGAGTCTCGAAAGAAGTTAGACTCACCATCTCTGTAGGGTGAGATTCTGTTTATACAACATTCTATAAAAGGCAAAATTGGCCAGGCGCACTGGCTCCCACCTGTAATCCCAGCATTTTGGAGGCCGAGGCAGGTGGATCACCTTAGGTCAGGAGTTCAAGACCAGCCTGGGCAACATGGTGAAACCCCATCTCTACTAAAAGTACAAAAATTCGTCGGGCTTGGTGGCGGGTGCCTGTAATCCCAGCTACGCGGGAGGCTCAGGAGAATCCCCTCTACCTGGGAAGTAGAAGTTGCAGTAAGCCGAGATCATGCCACTACACGCCAGCCTGGGTGACAGAACGAGACTCTCAAATAAATAAAGGCAAAATTACAGTAACAGAAAACAGATCACTGGTTGCTGGGGGTTGGGGAAGCTTGAACACAAAGACCTGCTTGGGGATAGAGCAGTTTGTATCTGGATTGCAGCTGGCTGTGGCTGTGTGCCTGTTGCCTTGTAGGTGAGAAGACCTAGACACAGCAAAAGCCCCTTCCCGCCTGCTGCCAGGCCCTCCGTGCCTGGTCACTGCCGTGCTGTCTGCAAGTTAGTGAAAGTTGTTCTTATTTATGGTTTTGATTTCTGACTGTGTTAATTAAGAACATAGATGGTTTTATGTGTTCATTGTTGACATAAATGGTATGATAGTGTTTTTGCAACTTGGTTTTTTTTTTTTTTGTCTTAACATTGTGTCTTATAGTTTTATACTTGTAGATCTGTTTTAACTTTCTGATAGTTTACTTCATGGTTTAATGATTTGTCCCTTACTAGTCAGAATGTTTCTTAGTTAAAACACACTGGCTAGATGTGGTAGTTCTCAATCCCAGCACTTTGGGAGGTTAAGGCAAGCAGATTACTTGATCTTAGGAGTTCGAGACCATTCTGGGCAACATGATGAAGCCCCCGCCTCTACGAAAAATACAAAGAATTAGCCAGGTGTGGTGCTCACCTGTAGTCCCAGCTGCACAGGATGCTGAGGTGGGAAGATCACTTGAGCCTGGGAGGTTGAGGCTGCACTGAGCCGTGACTGCACCACTGCCTTCCCAGCCTAGGCAACAGCATGAGACCCTGTCTCAAAAAGAAACAAAGAAAAGCCATGTGTTGGCCCAGTACAGACCCTACGCAGTATCTCACGGCAGTCACAACGAGACCGCCTAGAATGGACCCTTAGAGGGTGTGCATGCTGCCCTTAATTAACCATTGCTAAATTGTTGCTGAAACGTGTCCATTTGCGCTCCTGCCTCAGCTTCTGTTTTCCCCACGTCTTTGCTGCCCGGTCGTCTCACCCCCCCACCGTCTGTTCCTGCCCCGGGTCCCTGCCCTCCTGGTCACCTCACTCCTGTGCTCTGGCTGGCCTCTGGCCTCTCACCGTTTCATTTGCATCTCCTGCTGGGAAAGTCGAATGAATGCCCTGGAAGCTGCGGTGAGCCTCCCTCATCCATCCTCTGGGGTGGGCTTTCCTTGTTTTTGTGTGTCTTGTCTTGGTGTGAGCAGCACGCAGCATATCCCTCTTCCCACGGACCCTTGGCTGGCCAGGCAGCTCAGTCCTCTGATGCCCTTGACAGAGTAAGCAGCACCCCGTTCAGAGTAAAACCGGCCCTGTCTTGTCACTTCCCGGGCGCTGAAGGCCTCTCTACACCCTTCCCAAGGAGGCCGTCTTCCCTGGGATGGTGGAGAGCCTGGCCTGGCCTATCCCCTGCTGCTCCTCTCCTCCTTCCCGGGTGCCACTCCCTCAGACCCCCCTAGATTTCCAGGTAGCACAGAAATTACTTCTGCTTCTAACACTGCTCAATCGGAGGCACCTCTGAAGGCTGAATCTCTAGCCCAGCCTCCTTCCACCCCTGCAGCTCCCCTGCCCTGAGAGCCTCTGGTGCTTCTGCTGTATCCCAGAAAAAGACCCGAAGCAAACACCCACTGTCTCTCAGGGATGTGCTCTGCCCGCCTTTCTCACCACAGTGCTGCCAGGGCCTGGTGGGCTCCCCCTTCCCCACCCCACACCACAGCCCCGATACTCTTAGGAGCTGCTTTCCCACATGCTTTGTGTCTCCTGGGGATACCAGGCCTCCGTCACCCCTCACCTGGGTCATAGCAGCCCCTCTGACTGGTGTCCTTGCCACATTTCTGCCCCCTTCCCTGTTCCAGGGGCGCCTGGCCGCAGGTGGGGCTCAGACAACATGGACCCCTCTGGCCACGTCCTGTGTCTGGGGAACTCATCTCAGTGCCAAGCCTCTATCTCGGGTGCAGGGTGCAGTCCACAGTGCCCAGTTGGCACGAGGCTGCCCAGCACCGTGCAGCCACGCCTCAGCTCTGTCTCCACGAGGCGCCAGGGTCTCTTCTGTTCCTAGCACCCTCCACCTGGCATCTTGTTCATCTTCCCAATACATCTCTGATATTAAAAATGCCTGAGAGCTCTGTGCTGAACACGGCTGTGGCATGTTCTGGGTGTGTGCCCAGCCCAGGCTCCAGCAGACGGACTGGAATGCCTGCCCTGGTGCAAACGGGCTGCGTGTGAAGGGCCTTGGTTTCCACAGAGGTCACCAAGGGAGAGCGAGGCCCCTGTGGGAAGCAACCCCAGTGTGCGTCCTCTTCCACGTTTAGGTCGGCCATGGGTGGGCGATCTCTGTGCCTTTCCTTCTGTCTTCTGTTCCCTGAGGAGAAACTGAGGCCTGGTTCATCCAGATCAGCATTCACCAGTAACAGGGCCAGGCGTGGCGTCTGTTGGCCTCTCAGCCTGGAAGCTGGAAATTTGAGGGGCACCTGGGAGAGGACAGAGCAGCGTGGACCCTTCAACTGCGGCCAAGCCCTCCATACCAGCCCTGCCCAGCCCCAGGGCTGAGGCTGCATGGCCGACCCCAGGAGTGCCCAACAGGCACGCTCAGACCTGCCTTTCCTCCCAGGCTCCTGAGACTGCCGGCCAGCAACCCCACCATGTCCCAGCCCTGGGCCCCAGAGCAGGTGCTGGGCACGCTGGAGGACTGCCCCCCCAGCAGGAGGGACGAGGACGCCAGGGAGGGGATGCAGTGCTCCCAACGCATGCTCAGCTTCAGCGACGCCCTGCTGTCCATCATCGCCACTGTCATGGTGCGTATCCGGCTCCTGTGCAGGCCTGCTCCACCCCGAGCCCCTTGAGGCACTGCCCAGCCAGCCTCAGACCTATCCCAGGTCTTGCCAGCATCCTTGGGTTCCCCCATCCCCTCAGGCAGCTTAGGGGGTGCCCAGCACAGCCTTGGAGTCCCCAGTCCCACCACAGCCAGCCCATCAAGTGTCTCGCTTCCTTCTGTCTCCTTCTTCCTCAGATCCTGCCTGTGACGCACACGGAGATCTCCCCAGAGCAGGTAACGGGGCAGGCTGTGCTCTGTGTGTGTGGCTCTGAGAAGACACAGGGTCCCCAAGGCCTGACCTGGCACAGGCAGCTGACCCTGCACCCTTCGAAGCTTCCAAGGCTGAGAAGGCAGAGGCGGGAGGCGGGGGCCTCCTTGGAAAGGGAGAGAGTCAGCAAGGCCTGCTCAGCCTGTGCCCATCCTGGCAGAGGTCCTGGCCTCCTGGGAGGGCAGGAGGCTGGGCTCCTAAGGCTCTGTGTCAGCAGACGAAGGCAGTGCCCTGGAGGTGAGCCAGAGGACAAGTTGGAAGAGGAAGGTTCCAGGCCTGCCTCAAGAGCAGAAGATTCCTTTACCGGAGGGCAGGTGCCCCAGCAGGTCTCTTACGTAGCTGTTCTGCGTAAACAGCAGGGACACGCCCACCCTGGCTGCTCCTATAGGCCTGGAGGTTGGGGCAAAGGGTTTACAGGCAGAGTTTCCGCTCACAGCCACCTTGACTGTTTGAGCTAAAGAGCAACACTCTCAGAAGGGGAGCGACTGGAAGGCGTCTGAGGTGCACGTCTGGCTCAGTGTCCTTGTGACTGGGTTGCGAGGCTCGGGCCTCATGGCTGCGTGAGGCTCAGCAGTGAAGGTGTAGCCCTTTCTGGGCCGGTGCTGAGGCTGGGGCTCCAGTCCTGACCCGTGGCTGAGCCTGGGGGACACTGGGAAGTCTTTGGAGCTGCTTAGAGTTCAGCTGTCTCAGCTGTGCGGAGGATGACGAGACTTTTCATAGGGTTTTCATGAGAAGTAGAAACCAGGTGGAGCCTGGCCTGGTTTGCAGGGAGACCCTGGGCAGCAGCAGGTAGCAGGCGGGACAGGCGCTGGGGCTCCAGGGCCACCCCTGCCCTCCCCAGGGAAAATGCATTCCCACCGAGGCCCACAGGGTGGGCTTGGCCAAATTCAGTCGTGAGGTGCTGGCCGAGGATGCAACATGCTGACCTCGGCTGCCCCTTTCAGAATGGGGTTGCCGAGACCCGGCCACAGCCACCCGAGATGCCCAGTGCAGAGGTCGCATGAAAATGAAGGGTGTGGCTGGCTGAAAGTAAGAAAACCCTGCAGCCTTAACCCTGCTCTGACTTCTCTGCCGTCAGGGCTCCTTTCAGGGACTTTCCTCTGTTGTCCTAACCGGGTCACAGGGAGGGGCTGAGCCACAGTCCTGGAGAGTCAGAAGCTGTTTCAGAGAAGACATTTGTGGGAAGAGGGAAAGGTCTGACGTGTATCCCAGGGACTGGCTAGAGCAGCGGACACCTCCTTGTGAGGACGGGGGGCTCCTGGGCTGTGCTCACTCTTTAAGTAAAAGACAGTCATAACTTTGAAAACCCATGATTTGAAAAACTAGTTATTGACCTGGAGACCTGCCTGCAAGTAGAGAACCCAGGAAAACAGTAAAGCGGTTGGTTTTCTGTTTGGAGCGTTCCTGGAGAGAGCATGAAAACCCTTCTCAGGGCTGGAGGGGCGAGGGCCTTGGTTGAGTGCAGCACTGCCCCCAGTGCCTCCTGCTGACCACAGACCCTCAGGTGGGCCATCTGCGAGGTCCCTCGCGGTTTGCATGGAGGCCCTTACCCACGGCTGCTTCAGAATTGCCTACCCAGGCAGTGCCGAGTGCAAACCTGCTACGGTGTGAGCCTGTATGCCCCTCCAGAGTTCACACACCGAAGCCCCACAGCGACGGCGTTGTGAGGCAGAGCCTTTCCGAGGTGACCTGGTGCTTTTGCCTTTTTCTCCCTTCCCACGTGAGGACACGCAGAGGGCACCATCCCTGAGGCGGACTCCTCACAGACACTCAGCTCCTTAAGAGCTGATTGCTCAGCAGGAACAGAAGCAGCAGGAACAGCCCACAGAAGATTCCAGAATGCTCCTGTGGCTGTGGGCATGGCTCCGTGCCCTGGAGAAGGGGTGGGGGCTGGAGGGGTGGGACCTGAAGGCACCAGGGGAGACAGGCCAGGTGGAGGTGGAGGCTGGACCCTCCCAGGCGCCTCACGGGGCCCACCTGAGGGCCTCGCCCCATCCTGGGTGGAGGACAGCCCCCCGCATGATGCTGTCTCCATTGCCATTCAGGGACACTCGTGTCACTGTGCTCTGACAGCAGTGCTCTTGTACTCCAGCAGTTCGACAGAAGTGTACAGAGGCTTCTGGCAACACGGATCGCCGTCTACCTGATGACCTTTCTCATCGTAACGGTGGCCTGGGCAGCACACACAAGGTGGGGGCCACGGCCGCTCTCAGGGTTCCTGTGCCCCACACTGCATCACACACTGTCCCCAGGAGTGGGGGACAGCAGGCGGCTCTTCCCACCCTCATCCCCGTGGGGACAGCAGGACTTACTGGGCCCTGGGGCCGTAGGCGGAGCTGCTCCCTCCCTCTAAAGCGAGACTCCTCTCACGGTCCTCCGAGCTGCCCCTGCCTCTCAGCCACACAGACCTTCCTCCTGCCTGTGAGAGCTGCCTGGAGACCAGGCTGCAGCCAGGCAGGAGAGGGCACCTGTGCTGCCCCCACTGACACTGTTGGACGGCACACAGCCTCTTCCTCCCGGGTCTGTGTCCTGGGGTCTCGCCGCACTGCCGTCTCCCCGGCAAGGAGGCTGTGTCTGCAGGACACATGCTCCAGGGCTGGAGCTTTGCCTTTGAGAGAACAAGGTTCTTTAAGATCCAAGGAGAGGCTGGGCGCGGTGGCTCATGCCTGTAATCCCAGCACTTCGGGAGGCTGAGGTGGGCAGATCACCTGAGGTCAGGAGTTAGAGAACAGCCTGGTCAACATGGTGAAACCCCCCCTCTACTAAAAATAAAAAATTAGCTGGGCGTGGTGGCGGGTGCCTGTAATTCCAGCTACGTGGGAGACTGAGGCAGGAGAATGGCTTGAACCTGGGAGGTAGCGGTTGGAGTGAGCGGCGATTGCACCACTGCACTCCAGCTTGGGGGACAGTGCGAGACTCCAAAAAAATAAAAGATCCAAGAGCCCAGCGCTGCCAGGGCCACTGACCACCTGCCCCAGGCAGAGAGGGACAGGAAGACATCAGGGGTGGAGCTAGGGCTGCAGGGCAGTGGCCATGGGAAGGCTCCACACCTACCTTGGGCTGCAGCGCGGTGGTGGCCGGGGAGGCAGCAGAGCCTGCCTTGAAAGCATGGCTGAACGTTTTATATGACGGACTTGCTTTCAGCAAGATGACTGTGTCTAGTGACAGATGGGCCTCTTCTTACTTAGGGGAGGGCTTTCTCTTCAGCCTTCCTTGTTCACAGAGCACCCAGGAGGCCCACAGCTGGTGGAGTTTGGTGGGCCAGGACTGTGCCAGGCTCCTCATGAGATCAGCGGTGAGGACAGGGCCCCACACATCCTCCCACGTGTACTTGTTCATCCGAGGCCGCACCTGCTGTGGAGTTCAGGGCAGGGCAGGGCTGGGGGCTCTGAGAAGCCTGGGAGGGGGCTTCACAGATCTGCCCCGTGTATCCGCTGAGGACTTACAGCCCTGTGTGCGGTGTCCCAGTGCTTAGCAGGTCACCAGTGCTGCCGTCTCCAGGGAGACGGGGTCCTTTCCTTTTCTACTTTTTATGAAATGTGCAGCCCGAGTGAGCCCCTGTGTCTGATAGAGGCCACCATTGGGCCCCTGACGGGGATACAGACCCCCAGGCTGGGGGACTTCAGCTCAGTCAAGCCCAGCCAAGGAAGAGCCCCTAACTTCGGAGTGGGTGATTGAGGCGTGCCCTTCCCGCTTCAGAAATGGGGCCTTGTGGACTGTGCTCGTTCTCCTGGTGACAGACAGTGCTCCGTGTTTATTCTGTTAGGTTTCTTACCTCGTGGGTGTTCCGTGGACTTTTCCAGAGGTGTAGTGTGTGCAGCCCCTGAAGAAAATGGGAAAAGAGGGTTTCCTTTTTCAGAACGGTTTTGGACACAAGGCCTAAAGGTCGAATTCCTCAGGCAGAGGAGCTCTAGCTCCACCGAGGGTGTTGGCAGAGGGCTGCCGGCCGGGCCGCTGTGTCTGGGAAGAGGAAACTCACAGCCTCCTGAGGACGCCGCCCCTAGGGGGCCCACAGGCCTCCTCTGACCACTAAGCACCTGAAGCCCCCTCAGTAACTGCCGTGTCCCTGGCCCCGTGTCTGTAGTGCAGAGGCACAGGCACAGCCACGAGCTCTGTGAGGTGGCCTGATCCCAAAGTCATGCTGAGAAAACCCCAAAGCTACCAGGGTGTGCGGTGGTCTCTGACACCAACCCGGCTGAGGGCAGCAGGCTGAGAGTCAGGAGGAAGTGGTGGAGAGCGTGTGGATGGGCGGGGCGCTTTCTAGGGAACTTCGCTTCCTGCTTTGTGTTTTCCAAACTCTGCACTCTAGGTAGGGCTGTATGTTGGTTGGTAATGACATCTCTTAGTGGTGCTTCCCCCGAAGGGTGCTGGGGAGTGTGTGCCTCCCCTCCCCACCCACCCTGGAGCCCCATGCACTAGGTAGGGCTGTATGTTTGGCTGGCAGTGACGTTTCCTAATGGTGTTTGGCCCGGAGGAGGCTGGGGAGCGTGCGTGCTGTAATGTGACTAGAGCGCGTTGTGTTGTCTTTTTGTCTTTTTCTTAAATGGTGTAGGTTGTTCCAAGTTGTTGGGAAAATAGACGACACACTTGCCCTGCTCAACCTGGTGAGTGTGTTCCTGTTTCTGGGGATTTGTTTTAGTTTGTCATCCAACCCTCACAGCTGCCTCTCTCGTGGCCTGCGGGGCTCCTCGGAGCTGGAATCTGTCCACTCCTGGGAGCTCCTTGAGTGACCTTTCCCTCCCCATGGGCCGCCAGCCTGTATCTCCTCCTAGACAGGGCCAGGGGGGCGCTGGGCTGGGCACAGGTGTCGGGGACAGAGAGGCCAGGTGCCCCCATCTGGCCCTGCAGGGGCTGGGGGCTGGGTGCACTTGCCGGCCCACCCTTCTGTCCTAGGGAGAGTCCAGCCCTGTGCCTTCCCAGGTGGGCTCTGTCCCTCCCTCTGCCCTCCTCCCCAGGCTGCTTCATGGCCGTGATGCCCTCCTTCTCCCCAGGCCTGCATGATGACCATCACCTTCCTGCCTTACACGGTGAGCAGCGCCAGGACCCCGACACCCTGAGGCTTTGCTGAGCACCACCAGATTTGGCCTTTCCTCTGAAACAGACCAGCTGGACAGTCCCGGGCCCAGGCCACACGGTTGCAGAGAACAGAGAAGGTTCTGGGGCTGCATGGGGCTCCAGGCTGGGTGGGGAGGGGAGGCACTGGCCCCGGTGAGGGAGTCACCAGCGCTCCCAGCTCCCAGCGGCCCCAAGCCTGCAGCCTTCTGCCCATCCCAGGCCTGCTCCTGGCAGGCAGCTCCTGCAGCCTCCCGCCACCTGCCCTGCACTGCTCAGGCTGTGAAGGTGCCACCAAGTTCTGGCAGTGGCCGCTGTTCTGAATGTGCAAGGCCGTGTACCACCAGGAACTCAGGTCTAGGGGATTTCATATGAATTTGGTGACATTCTGGCTTGAAAGGCCTGAGACGTTTGATGGAGTTGGTTGGGGTGAGGGACACATGCCCCAGCACCCAGCTGCCCCATCCGTGGTGGCCCCGCCCATCTCCCAGTGTCCTGTGGGATGAGGAGGCTCACCATGGCCCAGTTCCAAGCTCCGGAGCCCGGGAACCTGGTAACCTAGGATATGGATTTGGGGGGTTGTTTTTGTTTTTAACAGTTTTCCTTAATGGTAACCTTCCCTGATGTGCCCCTGGGCATCTTCGTGTTCTGTGTGTGTGTGATCGCCATCGGGGTCGTACAGGTAGGGGGCCAGGGGCCTGCACTGTGTGTGTATGTGTGTGTGTTTGCCGTCAGCGTCATGCAGGTAGGGGCTGGGGGCCTGCACTCTGTGTGTGTGTGTGTGTGTGTGTGTGTGTGATCACCATCGGGGTCGTGCAGGTAGGGGCCGGGGGCCTGCACTGTGTGTGTGTGTGTGTGTGTGTGTGTGTGTGTGTGTGTGATCGTTGGGTCAGACAGGTAGGGTGCCCAGGGCCACCTACACACATAGGATGTGGCATGCCCAGAGCCCCCCTGCTTTCTGACCTGAGACCCCCCCCAACAACGGCCCCAGGAGCCAGCAGGGGCTCCTGTTTTTTCTCCACCTCAGCCCCCCTACCCAAAGTGTCCTGGGCTACAAGCCCACCTCTACCCACCAGATCCCTTCCCCCGAGACCCCCACCTGTGTGCATGCCGTATAGCCTGGGGCTTGACTGGTGTGGGGGCCCCCCTGCTCTTGGGGCCGGCGTCCTGCACCTTGCTTTTCCCACAGGCACTGATTGTCGGGTACGCATTCCACTTCCCGCACCTGCTGAGCCCACAGATCCAGCACTCTGCCCACAGGACCCTGTACCGAAGGCACATCCTGGGCATCGTCCTCCGAGGCCCAGCCCTCTGCTTGGCAGCAGCCATCTTCTCCCTCTTCTTTGTCCCCTTGGTGAGTGCTGAGACAGTCCCTCAGGACCCAGGCGGGGACGGGGCCACCATGGGAGCAATGTCCCCCCGAGTGACAGACATGGGGGCAGGGGGCAGAGCGCAGGCAGGCAGGGGTTCCACCGAGGGTCTTGTGTGTGAGGCCTGGGGCTGCAGTGAGTGGCGCCAGGAAGGGAGGCCTGCTCCTGAGGCCCCGGGACCCAGGCTGTCAAGGACAGAGATGGACACTCATGGAAGGAAGGGGCAGCTGAGTCCTTCTCAGCGAAGCTTCAAAACGACGATGAGAAGCAAAGACGCCGGGAGTCCAGGGATGCTCACGTTCTCTTGTTTCATTTTTTATTTATCGACGCAGGATCCTGCTCTGTCACCTAGGCTGGAGGGCAGTGGTGCAATCTTGGCTCACTGCAGCCTCAACCTCTGGGCACAAGCGATTCTCTCACCCCAGCCTCCCGAGTCTCGGGAACTGCAGGTGTGCACCACCACACCTGGATAATTTTTGTATTTTTGGGGGAAACAGGGTCTTGCTGTGTTGCTCGGGTTCCTCTGGAATGCCTGGACTGAAGTGATCCTCCCACCTCAGCCCCCGACGTGCTGGGATTACAGGTGTGAGCAAGCACACCGGCCTTTACTTGCTTTTGGATAAGGAATCTATAAAACTGTAAACATCAAACAGCTGTTTGGAGGAGGAGCCCCTGGGGAAAAGCCCGGCATCTGCTCATGGCGACGTCAGCTGTTGGTGCTTGGAGAATGCAAGCCACCGGGGAAAGGGAGAAGGCAACAAAGGAAAGTTCTAGAACCCACAGTGGAGCCTGGGAAAGTAGAGAAAGCAGAGCTGAGGACCCAGCTGTTGGCGGCAGGAGCTGGGTCTGCCAGGGGCCACCACATGCATCCGGCAGCAATGCCGGGGGCGGGGAGGGGGTGGCAGCACAGGGTCTCCTTGCAGCCCTGCTCAGGTGGAAGACAGCTGGGAGCCTCTCAGCCCGGCCGGAAGACTGAGGGCTGCTCACTTGCTGTTCTTAAGCCAACGGCTGATTTAATTGGATAAGACCATCATTCTAGACGTCATTCTAGGAATGCTGCCATCACCCAGAAACAGAGCAAGAAACCCCAAAACCAGCTGTTCCAGAGTTGAAGTCGCAGCTTCATTTGTGGCAGCTGGACCTTCTGGAGCACCTTTGACGTAAATTGCATTTTTAAACCCAGAGCAACGTTAAGAGTTGTGGAAATCAGCCGGGCGCGGTGGCTCAAGCCTGTAATCCCAGCACTTTGGGAGGCCGAGGTGGGTGGATCACGAGGTCGAGAGATCAAGACCATCCTGGTCAACATGGTGAAACCCCGTCTCTACTAAAAATACAAAAAACTAGCTGGGTGTGGTGGCGCATGCCTGTAATCCCAGCTACTTAGGAGGCTGAGGCAGGAGAATTGCCTGAGCCCAGGAGGCGGAGGTTGCGGTGAGCCGAGATGGCTCCATTGCACTCCAGCCTGGGCAACAAGAGCGAAACTCCGTCTCAAAAAAAAAAAAAAAAAAAAGAGTTGTGGAAATCTGGGCTGGGTGTCGTCGCTCACGCCTGTAATCTCAGCACTTTGGGAGGCCAAGGCGGACAGATCACAAGGTCAATAGATGGAGACCATCCTGGCCAACATGGCGACACCCTGTCTCTACTAAAAATACAAAAATTATCTGGGTGTGGTGGTGCGTGCCTGTAATCCCAGCTACTCTGGAAGCTGAGGCAGGAGAATTGCTTGAACCCTGGAGGTGGAGGTTGCGGTGAGCTGAGATTGGGCCACTGCACTCCAGCCCTGGCAACGAGATCGAGACTGTCTCAAAAAAAAAGAATTGTGGAAAAATGAATGGTGGTTATGGTAAATGTTTAGTAAACATTTCAGAAGAATCCCAAGTTTAAAATAGACGGCAGCCAGGTGGCAGTGGTGAACCTATAGTCCCAGCTACTTGGGAGGCTGGTGCCGGAGGATCGTGGGAGCTGGGGGGTTCGTGGCTATGCCGGTTGGATTTCTGCACTCAAATTTGGCATCAGTGTGGTGACCTTCCAAGACCACAGAGGAATGGGGGCCGGCCCAGGTCAGAAGTAAGGAGGGTCAGAACTCCCATGCCCATCGGTAGAGGGATCGTGCCTGTGAATAGCACCACACCCCGGCCTAGGCAACACAGCAAGACCCAATCTCTAAAGAAACAAACAGACATGTCCGGTGAGCGCCTGGTGCTGCTGCCTCACTCACTAGAGGCCTGGGCAGGCCATCTCCACTGAGAGGGGCTGGAGCTGGGGGGCTGAGCAGGGCTGGCTCCAGAGCATGGGAGTCCCGCAGGCCAGGCATAGCCGAGCCCCGCGTGAGCACCAGGCCAGAGCAGTGGGTTGGCCTGCGAGCCCCAGAGCCGTGGCTGCTGTGCTGCTGGGCTCTTAGACCAGAGGCATTTGATGCCCTTTAAACAGGAGGGAGTAGACGCCAGGGAGATGTGGGGGTGGGGCAGGCCAGAGGCTGGGACTTCCTCCAGAAGGGTGGGCCACCCACTGGCACTGGCAGGAGGGGTGTGTCCTCAACTACAGCCTCTGTGAGGTCAGAGCAGGGCAGGGGCTCTGGGCAGAGAGCAGGTGGACCAAGTCCTGGGCAGAGGCAGGCAGGTGGGTGGGTGGACAAGGATAAGGGGGAGCAGTCTGAGGCAGTCCTGGTGTCAGAGATGGGACAGCCCCTTCTGGTGGTGGCTGAGTGACGGGGCAGGCTGATGAGGTCAGGACCTAGTCCCTGGGAGCCAGATGTGGTTTCTGTGTCCATAAACTTGTGTGTTCTGGATTCTACATATACAGAGACTCACAAAGTATGTGGTCTTTTCATGTCTGGCCTTTTAACATTGTCAAGATTCACCCATGTTGTTGACCATGTCAGAACCGTGTTTCTTCTTTATGGCCGAGTCCATTGTGAGTCTTGTGCCATGTCATGTGGGCGCACTTAGCCATGGATGGACATCTGGGAATCTGCGTCTTTCAGCTGTCATGAATGAAGCCGCTGTGAGCATTGCTGGATACATGTGGCCATCCTGAGTGAAGTCACTGTGAGCACTGTTGGACACGTTTGGCTGTCGTGAGTAAAGCCGCTGTGAGCATTCCTGGACATGTAGCCGTCGTGAGTAAAGCTGCTGTGATCATTGCTGGACACGTGGCTGTCATGAGTGATGCCACTGAGCATTGCTGGACACGTGTGGCCGTCGTGAGTGATGCCACTGTGAGCATTGCTGGACACGTGTAGCTGTCATGAGAGAAGCCACTGCGAGCATTGCTGGACACGTGTGGCCGTGGTGAGTGAAGCCACTGTGAGCATTCCTGGACACGTGGCTGTCGTGAGTGATGCCACTGTGAGCGTTGCTGGACACATGTGGCCGTCATGAGTGATGCCACTGTGAGCGTTGCTGGACATGTGTGGCCGTCGTGAGTGATGCCACTGTGAGCATTGCTGGACACATGGCTGTCGTGAGTGAAGCCACTGCGAGCATTGCTGGACATGTGTGGCCATTGTGAGTGAAGCCACCGTGAGCATTCCTGGACAAGTGTGGCCGTCGTGAGTAAAGCCACCGTGAGCATTCCTGGACAAGTGTGGCCGTCGTGAGTGAAGCCACCATGAGCATTCCTGGACACGTGTGGCTGTCGTGAGTGAAGCCACCTTGAGCATTGCTGGACACGTGTGGCTGTTGTGAGTAAAGCGGCTGTGAGCATTCCTGGACATGTGTGGCCATTGTGAGTGAAGCCACTGTGAGCGTTGCTGGACATGTGTGGCTGTCATGAATGAAGCTGCTGTGAGCATTGCTGGACACCTGTAGCTTGTGGGTAACCCTCCATATAGACACCGAGGAATGAGAGCTAAGCAGAACCCTAGCACAGTTAGGGCTTGAGGAATATCTCACTTTATAGTGTTACTACTCACCTATTTCCTTTTATATAATCCTTTACATAATCATATATTAATTTATAGAATTAGGGCTTGAAGAGTCCCTTTATATAATCCTCCATATATAATGATATAATAGTTGATAGTATGAGGGCCTAAAGAATATTTCCCTACATATATCTTAGTTCATAATCAGAGGAATGCCTAGAGCAGACACAGTGCAGAGCGTGATTTAAGGGAAAACAGTTATACCAGGACAAGAATCCATGGCCCAGGCGGCAGCGTTCAGTGTCGTAAAGATACCCGCTGTGCGGCAGGCTTGGGGCGAGAGCCACTCCTCCTGATCAAGGAGTTGCAGGACCTTGCTCCAGTTCCTGTGGAAGGCTGCCCTCAGAACGACAATCCACCTTGGTGACTGTGAACTTCATCAGCTCTTGCTACTGTGCTGCTTGAAGAACATCTTCCCATAGAAGCCACTGGAAGCTGCCAGAAGGTGGCGGCAACCTGACAGCTCTGTCATTGCTGTGTGACTTAAAGCATCCTCCCATAAATCTTCTTAGAAGTAGTTTTCCCATAGATAGAAGTATCGCACACTGCACCCTCTTCACTGCGCACGGCCCACCTTCGAGCCTCGGTGACCTAATGGGGGTGGACCTCTTACTTGCGTTCGTGGGAACGGGGCCCTTGCTGCGCGCTGTCCACCTCCTAGCCTAGGTGACCTAATGGGGGTGGACGCTATGTTGTATTGCTCATGACCCTATCACTACCCTTAAAGATGATTTCACTCACTGCCCTGCCCCCTAACCTATACACAATAAATACGCTTGTGGACATTCGGGGCCTCGCCAGCCTCGCCCAACTCCGCTCATAGGTGGCATGGCTCCCCAAGCGCAGCTGCATTTTCCTTGTACTTCAGTGTCCTGTCTCTTTATTTCTCGGATCCTGCGCCTCAGCACAGCATAAGGCTCACCCCACGACCCTGTGGGGCCCTCAGCCTTACATCTGGCTCCCAACGTGCCCTACGGTAGCTGTCGTGAGTGAAGCCACTGCGAGCATTGCTGGACACGTGGCCATCATGAGTGAAGCCATTGTGAGCATTCCTGGACACGTAGCTATTGTGAGTGATGCTGCTATGAGCATTCCTGGAAACGTGTGGCCGTCATGAATGATTCCACTGTGAGCGTTGCTGGACACGCGTTTCTTCAGATCTGTCTTCTCAGGTCTTTTATGTGTGTCCCCAGCTGTGAGTTGCTGGGTCGTATGGTGATTCTGTGTTGAATTTTTTAGGTTTAATTTGTTGAGGAACCACCAAACTCCCACAGCAGCTGTACCATTTTATGTTCCCACCAGCAGCACACAGCAGTTCATTTCTCCACATCCTCACTGACACCTGCTGTTTTTCATTTCTCCAACTGAGTGGGTGCGAAAGAATTTCGTTGTGGTTTGATGTGTGTTTTCATCGTGACAGAGGGGGTCAAATCTCGTGGTTTGACGTGCGTTTTCACCGTGACTGAGGGAGTCGAATCTCGTGGTTTGACGTGCGTTTTCACCGTGACGGAGGGGGTCAAAACTCGTGGTTTGACGTGTGTTTTCATCGTGACGGAGGGGGTCGAATCTCATGGTTTGATGTGTGTTTTCATCATGGCAGAGAGGGTCGAATCTCTTGGTTTGATGTGTGTTTTCATCGTGGTGGACGGGATTGAACTCGTGGTTTGATGTGCGTTTTCATCGTGGCGGAGGGGGTCGAATCTCGTGGTTCGATGTGCATTTTCACAATGGCGGAGGGGGTCGAATCTCATGGTTTGATGTGTGTTTTCATCGTGGCGGAGGGGGTCGAATCTCGTGGTTTGATGTGTGTTTTCATCATGGCGGAGGGGGTCAAATCTCTGGTTTGATATGTGTTTTCATGTGGCAGAGGGGGTTGAATCTCGTGGTTTGACGTGCGTTTTCTTCATGGCGGAGGGGGTCAAATCTCATGGTTTGATGTGTGTTTTCATTGTGGCGGAGGGGGTTGAGCGCCTTCTCGTTAGTATGTTGACCATTTGCACGTTTCGTTTGGAAAAATGTCTGTTGTCATCCTTTGCCCATTTTTAATTGGGTTGTTTTTATTGTTGAGTTAGAATTGCAAGCAGGCAGCTTTTAAGACATGGTCTTGCCCTTTCCCGTAGGCCAGAGCACAGTGAGCTGGATCACTGCTTACTGCAACTCCTGCCTCCCAGGTTCAACACTTAGTCATGCCTGGATAATTGTTATTTTTGGAGAGATGCAGTTTACTGTGTTGCCCAGGCTGGTCTTGAACTCTTGGGCCGAAGCGACCCACCTGCTCAGCCTCCTAAAGTGCTGGGGTTACAGGCATGAGCCACTGTGCCGGGCTTCAGAATTCGTGACAATTTCTGGCTACTCGGCCTTGTCAGATACATGATCTGCAGAACCCTCCCTCCTGCCGCAGCCGGTTCTTCGGCTCACACACAGCTGTGCCTGGATAAAGCCTGGCCTCGGCCCTCTGTGGACGGTGCTAACCTGTGGTGTGTCTCCCTGCAGTCTTACCTCCTGATGGCAACCGTCATCCTCCTCCCGTATGTCAGCAAGGCCGCCGGCTGGTGCCGAGACAGGCTCCTGGGTAGGTGATGACTGGCTGGCCTGGGGCCAGCGGCCTCCCGCCTCTGCGTGGCTGCTCCACACTGAGGGTCGTGCATGGGCCAATGCCTCCGTGCGTGGTGGTGGCTGGGGCTCCCCCGCTCTGTCCCTTGGGGTGTCGCTGTGCTGTCTCCTCTCCTGGCCGTGACGTTCCAGGCCTCTACTGGGATGGGGCAGTGACAGCTACATGGGCTGTGGCTCCGTGTGGTGGGGCTTGGCCAGCTCCACCCTCCTGGCTTGTCCATAGGCCACAGGGAGCCCTCGGCTCACCCAGTGGAAGTCTTCACATTTGACCTTCATGAGCCACTCAGCAAGGAGCGGGTGGAAGCCTTCAGCGACGGCGTCTATGCCATCGTGGCCACCCTTCTCATCCTGGACATCTGGTGAGGACCCCATGCCACCTGCCCCAGCTATATTGGGTGCCAGTGTGTCCTGGGAACCCCAGAAAGGCTCAGGGGTCTCGGCTCCACCTCCCCTGGATGCCTAGAGTTTTATGTGAGATCAGGGCAGCCCCCACGTCAGGGAAGACAGCCCTCCCTTCCCAACAGTCCCCCCCTCCCTCCAGCGGCCCCCACCCCAAGCACAGGCTGGGGATGGGGTGCCAGGGTGAAGTCAGCACCAGCTGCCAACTGTTCTTTTCATTCTTTCCAGAGGGGCTCAGCAGCCGTGGGTATCCCCCTTACCCCAGGCCTCACCCCTCACCCCTGACCCAGCACCAGCCCCCCCCCACCCCCGTAGCAGCCCCTCCATCGTCTCCCAGCCCCCCAGACCCCTCCCACTCCCTGGCCCCTTCCCACTCCCCCGGCCCCTCCCGCTCCCCGGCCCCTCCCGCTCCCCAGCCCCTCCCACTCCCCACTCCCTGCTGTTGCTCCCACCTCCTTCCAGCGTCTGCTCCTCCACTGCCTCATCTGTTAAAGTGCTCATTCGGTTGTCACATTTTTGTTTTTTGGGTTTTTGTTTTTGTTTTTGTTTTTGTTTTGACAGAATCTGGCTCTGTCATCCAGGCTGGAGTGCAGTGGCTCGAGCTCAGCTCACTGCAACCTCCACCTCTCCACCTACCAGGCTCAAGCAGTTCTCCCACCTCAGCCTCCTGATGAGCTGGGACTAATAAGCCCACCACCACCCTCGGCTAATTTTTTGTATTTTTAGTGGACACAGGGTTTCACCATGTTGTCGAGGCTGGTCTCGAACTCTGGACCTCAGGTGATCTGCCCACCTCGGCCTCCCAAAGGGTTGGGATTCCAGGCGTGAGCCACCGTGCCTGGCAGTCATCACGTTTTAATTTGCTTTCTCACATCTTTCATGCTTTTGAAGTGTCTTGTTCCCTGGTCATAGTGCAGCACTGTGATCTTGTCAGGATAAGACACTGTGGTTTATGGTTTTATGTTGTGTGCTTTATATTCTCGACTCCGAGTCTCCCAGTGCTCTCCTGGTAGCTCTTCTCTGCTGCAATGGGTGCATTTTTAAAAGCGGGAAGCAAACGTTGCTTGGCACCTGTCTCTAAGGCCCAGGTGCAAGGGATGCTCCAGTGTGACCTGCCTGCTCCCAGCAACTTCCTGTCCTTGCTGACCCTGCTGGCTCCTGCCCCCACTCCACCCCCACCCTCTGCCTGTCATTCTGGAGGACGGAGTCTGTGTGGGGCTGCTTGAGGACCACTGTCCTCCATGTCCCGTTGCTGAAACGATGCTGTTCCAGCTTCCTGGGTGGTACCGTCAGAAGGCAGCGGCCCTGACCAGGGTGGTTCCCACAGCCTCCTGCGGCTGCAGAGTCCGGCTTGGGAGTTGGCCTCCCAAGATGCCATGTGCATCTGAGAACCACGGAGATCAGCCCTGTGCGCATCTCTGGTCACGGTGTTATTTGGGTGGCTCCGAGGGCTGGAAGCTGGGGGGAAACAGACCACGCTGCCCCACAGCAGGCTGGCCCTGCACTGCAGATGCACTCGGCCAGAGAGGGCCCCCAGCAGCACTTAGGCCAGCAGAGTTGGGCTCCCTTTAGCACGGAGCAGAAGGGTGCCAGTAACCGTGGAATTTCAGATGAACAGCATGTAACGTTAGGTCAGTGTGCCAAGTGTACATAAACATGCATTCTGAAATTTAGCCTACTGCAAAGTCCATGTCGTTCATCTGAAAAGCCACGTGCCACAGCCAGGCAGCCATGACAGGCACTCAGCACACCGTGCGGGGGGCCTGCGTAGCCTCGGCGAGGCCGGCACAAATCCATCTGTTACCTGTTCTCAGCGAGGACAACGTCCCGGACCCCAAGGACGTGAAGGAGAGGTTCGGCGGCAGCCTCGTGGCTGCGCTGAGCGTGTTCGGGCCGCGCTTCCTGGCGTACTTTGGCTCCTTCGCCACTGTGGCACTGCTGTGGTTCGCCCACCACTCGCTCTTCCTGCACGTGCGCAAGGCCACGCAGGCCATGGGGCTGCTCAACACGTTCTCACTGGCCTTCGTGGGTGGCCTCCCACTGGCCTACCAGCAGACCTCGGCCTTCGCCCGGCAGCCCCGCGACGAGCTGGAGCGCGTCCGTGTCAGCTGCGCCATCATCTTCCTGGCCAGCATCTTCCAGCTCGCCATCTGGACCACGGCCCTGCTGCACCAGGCGGAGACGCTGCAGCCCTCGGTGTGGTTCGGCGGCCGGGAGCACGTGCTCATGTTTGCCAAGCTGGCCCTGTACCCCTGCGCCAGCCTGCTGGCCTTCGCCTCCACCTGCCTGCTGAGCAGGTTCAGCGCAGGCATCTTCCACCTCACACAGATCGCTGTGCCCTGCGCCTTCCTGCTGCTGCGCCTGCTCGTGGGCCTGGCCCTGACCAGCCTGCGGGTCCTGCGGGGCCTGGCCCGGCCCCGACATTCCCCGCCGACCCCCACAGGCCAGGACGACCCACAGGCCCAGCTCCTCCCTGTCCCCTGCTAGCAGCCACGGGGCCACTCCCAGCCACCACCAGATACGGACTGGGGAGGACAGGACGCTGGGTGGGGGAAGCTGAGTTACGGGCAGGCCTCAGTGGTTCTCGTGTGGCCTGGTTTTATTTTCACTGTGAAATATGTTCTATCTGTCCTCAAATTGTTCTCCAGGTTCTGTAGAGTGAGGAGTTTCCCAAGAGCTTGGAATGTGCCTTGTGGCATTTGCCTATCCACTCTCTCCAACGCGAAGACACTGCCACACCCGCACACCATGGGACTGCCCACTCCCAGCCGCCTTCACAACCTATACAGAGCTGCCCTGGGGGGGACGGTGCCAAGCCTTCCCCTCCCTTTCCCACCTTGGTTGTTGACACAAAGATGAGACAGCAGGACAGTGATGCCCAGTCTGTATTTGTCCCAGATATAAATTACTGTTGCATTCAGGCAGCGATAAATACAGAGGGGCCCAGTGTGCAGGGCACAGGCTCACTCACACAGGACAATCCCCTCACCACAGTTATACACGATTCATACAGGCCACAGTCCACACCGAGGCTTGCAAAGCAAAACTAGTCACACACGAGGGGCTGGTTTTGACGGTGGGACAGCCGACGTAAACAGGCGTGTACACTGGAGGCCACAAGCGGCCTGACAATGCATGTCTGTGCAGTTTTGGCAGAAGCGGCGGGGACGGGGGCGGCGCTGGGGGGGTTAGTGACACCAAGGGCTCGCCAGGAGGCTGCAGGCTGGGCCAGGTCACACACTCCTGGGGCCAAACCAGAGCCACTTCTGAGGTCAAGGCCACACCCAGGAAAGCTCTGGCCCAGAATGGGAGGCCCAGGCCAGCTGTGCCCCACAAGGGAAAGGGCGCGACCGGGACCATTTCTCATGGGGGGAGTCAGGAGGCTTCCCGCAGAGGCGGCTTAATTTTTGGTCAGACTCCTCCCAGAGCCAGTGTGCCGTCTGAATCCTTGAGCACGTGGAAGCAGCTGTATGTGTCTGCCTGGGTGCACCCCAGTCTGGCCCAGACACAGCACCATCGCGCTGTCTGGGGGCATGGGAGCAGGGGCGCTGCGGGAGCAGGATCTCCACATGCTGACGAGGGACAGGACCGAGCACGGCGGCCCACACAGACACAAAGCTGCACGTCAGCGGCTTTCAAGCAGCGTGGAAAGTGCTAGCGTGGGGTCGGGCTGAAAGCCAGCTCCTCCTCCACACGAATGCAGCTATTTACACCTCCTCCAGCTCCTCTGCACCGCCAGGCCCTGCTTCTGGTCCCTTCTGCGTGCTCAGTGCCCACTCCGAGGGCCGAGGGGCAGACGCACACTGTGGTGCTGGCAGGGCGGCACCCAAGACTTGCCCTCCATGCGGACAGAGGTTCTCCTCACCCAGCACAGGCACTAGGAAAGGGCAGCCAGGCCCAGCCGGGCACTGCCTACCCCTGCGGCTGCACTTGGTGTCCAAGCTGCCATCTGTATATAACAAGGCCAGAAAACGAAGGAAGGCACCTTCTCCATTCCCCCAAGACACATGAGGAAGTCACCAGTCGCCACCACCAGGCAGCCCGATAAACGCTGCCTGCCAGGGGCTGCCCAGGGTGGGAAACTGAGGCTAGAGGGGCTGCCCGGGGTGGGGAAGTGACGCTAGAGGGGCTAGCAGCGTATGTACTGGGACAGGGACATGCCAAGGGAGCCTGCTGCTATGAAGGACCAGCCAGGGGCACGGCCTGAGGGGCACAAAGCAAGGTCAGACCCACCTGGACGGCCTGCGTCCAGCACTGTCCAGCTCAAGGGGCTCAGTGGGGAGAGGTATGGAGGGATGGCTGCTCATCCTCCAGGAGAGGACTGGGCCCCCACAGGGCAGAGGGCTTGCCAGCCAGAGCCTGTATCCACCCGGGACATGGGGACACACTGCCACCCACACGGCGGTCTCCAGTGGGATGAAGGTGGTGACACCCATGTGTGGCACCAATGGGATGAGGGCTGGTCCCACTCCAGGCCCAGGAAGGTGCTGCAGTCAGGGCTGAAGCCAGGTTGGACCACGGGGCTGGCCACTGTGAGGACACAGCTGCCTCCAGACCACCTGAAAACAAGCCAGTGGGGGCAGAGACCAAAGGAGCCCCCAGCCTGTCCTGGCCACCCCTACCTAGGATCGCCCTCAGGGGCAGGTGCGGCATCCACCCGGGCATCCCTGGTGGTCCCGGGCCTCCTCGGCTTCTGCTTGGCCTTCCTCAGCATGTGGACCTGTCCCGGGAAAGAGGGCAGAGGGCCAGGGTGACGTGGCAGCCCCCAGTCCTGGGACTAGGCAGCTGAAGCCACCTTCCATTTCACCTACCTGGCTGCTCCCTGTGCCACCTGTGGCCCTGACCACTGGCACAGCCCTCCTGAGACAGGCACCCTCCTGGAACCAAGGAAGACCCTGGCCAGGGGCAGCAGGCCATGCTGCACCCTCTGGGCACCACAAGCCACTCCCACAGCCCCCCTGGCCCAGCCCACCTCCCCTGGCTCTCCAGCCTCACCCTATGTACCTTAGGGCCAGCAGCTGAGATGATCATATGTCCCGGGGCCTGGATCCAGGGCTCCCCGTCCACCTGCACCGGGGTGGCCTTGAGGAGCGTGACTCTGAAGTAGGAACCCTGGGCGATCCGGATTCCAGAGCGCAGCCCGCCCTGGACCTGGCCCTGGGGCAGGAGAGGCCAGCTGGGCTCAGTGGGGACCAGCGACACCGCCCCGGGCCCGCCCACCTGCCTGGCCAGCGGCTCACCATGTGCACGACGCCCGTCACACCCACCACCTCCAGCAGCCCGTCATCCATGCGTGGCTTCTCAAACCTGGCATCACTGTCGGAGCCCCACAAGTCGGCCCCCGAGCCCCAACTGCCACGTAAGAGAATGGGCACAGAGGTGTCAGCATAGGCCGGACGAGGACCGAGCCCGCCCACGGCCCCGCTGGGCAGAGCCTCTCGGGAGCCCCTGGGGGCACCTGGGGATGTTGATGAAGATGAGGCCCTCGATGCTGGGCAGCTCCACCTCCTGCCGTTCCACCTGCAGCCGGATCTCCTTGTGCAGGCCCCGAGAGTGGCTGATCTTCTGCAGCCCCACCCGCACGTACACACCCTTGTTGTGCAGCCTGCAGCACAGGACACGCCACCCATCACCAGGGGCCCCACCCTCCTGTGACAGCCTCCGGGTTCTGGCCCCTCTGCCTGTCCCTGCTGGGGAACCTGTGGGTCAACACCCTCCCAGGTGGCGGCCCCTGAGACTCTGGCACCTGCTGCAGCTCCAGTACCTGCTTGTGAACTTGCCAGGCTCCTCTTCCCGTGCCTGGTGGAAGTCCAGGCTCAGCTCCGCGTCAATGCCAATGCCACAGTAGTTACTCATCTGCACGATCTGGGGACAGGCGTTCATCTCCCAGGACCTGGCAGCCCTCATCAGGCTCCCTGAGCTCCCCAACAGCTAGTCTAGTTCTTTGCCTCCAGCCGGCAGGCAAAGACAGGGCAAGGGCCGCCCCAGCAACAAGCCCAGCACCCAGGAGGGCAGTGTGCCGGGTCCTGGGCAGGCTACGTCACCAGCTGGCTGGCCACAATCCCCAGCAGTGGCCTCCCTCCACTTCGGGTGCATACACCCGTGTGTGGCTGGGAGGACGCCCACTGTGACACGTGTGGCGACGTCACGTGCAGGAGCCCGAAGGACACCCCACGCCACGCCGCCCTGTACCTTGGGGGGCTCTGCATCTGCCGTGCCGTTCTCTGCACCGCCAGCCTCATGTGCATCCAGCAGGATGGTCCAGCGGTCCATGAGCACAGCATCGGCCTCGTCCACAGACAGCAGCACGGAGAAGGGGTCCTCGCCGCTGTAGCCCGCCCCCCAGCGGAGGACTCGGCCAAGGTCATTCCCTGGGATGATGCAGAGTGGCTGTCCACACCCGCCGCCCACCAGCAGGGCGCAGACCCCCCACCATGGGGACAGACGCCAGCCCAGGCCTCAGTGACAGCTGGGGCAGGAAGGGGTAGACCCTCAGGCCCCCTCCTCTGTGCACGGCTCACCCCACCTGTGCCCAGGGGCAGGATGGCCACAGAAGGCTCCGGGCAGGCCAGTCGGTGCCGGGTCTCCTCCAGGGCGCCAAGCACCCAGCCCACGGTGCCGTCGCCACCGCACACCAGCACCCGGAAGCAGGGCACCTGGGAGAACACGTGGAGCCTGGAGAGACAGGAAGTGTCCTTCAGCAGCCGCGGGGCAGCCCACCCCCACCCAGGCTGCCCCTTGCTTTTCAGATGCCCTTCCTGGCCACGTGGGGGACTTCAAGGCCTCAGCGTGGATCCCAGTGGAGCTCCCGCCGGCCGAGGCAGCTGTGGTACCCTCTTGGGGCCCTTCCCACCCCCACTGCTGCCCGGTACCAGGGGTCCCACTGGACTCACCCAGGAAGAGGACCCCCATTGGTCAGATCAAAGACCTGGTGGGGGTTCAGCAGCTTCCGGAAGCTGCAGAGCAGGTCACGGCCCTTGAGACCTCCACTCTTGGGGTTCACGAACACAAGGAGGGGACGGCTGTCTGGGGGCAGCCTCGCATGCTGACAGACAGGAGGCTAGGTTAGCATGGGGACCCAAGGTGGGTTGTCCCCACTGCTGGGGCTGCCAGGCAGCACCTGGCCCCCAACCCTGAGCCAACCCGGCCTGGACCAGCCCCCATCCCAGGAAGGCGTGGCCAGCACCCTCACGAATGAGGTCTCGCACTTGAGCTGCACGGTCACCCTACGTCATTGCTGGCTGCCTGGCGCTCCCAGCACAAAGGCCTCGGACCTGTCCACTGAACCGAATGTGAACAGACCACGCCTGCCTGGGCCATGCAGCCTGTGAATCCAGGCTAGAAATGCACATGGCCCTCTCCCTGGCACTGCTTGAGTGGTACACACCTTTGGAGGATGGTGGCTCCCAGGCCCCCACCTGCCTACACAGCAGCTGAAAAAGCTCTAAACTCACAGGGTGGCACGCGTCGTCCCTCGGCCACAGGAAGAGCCCATCTCCCCACACAACCCCAGGAAGCAGTGCTCAGATCTAGACAGCGGGCTCTGGGTTGGGGTCTCTACAACAAGAGTCTGGGCCCCCATAGCGGGGAAGGAGCAAAGGAGACAGACAGGCTGGGTGCAGACACAGGGTGGGCGGCGGCGCAGGGGCCGGCCATGGCTGGGGCAAGGACACACTCGGGGCTTCGTGACCCACTCGGCAGGCAGAGCCGCCTGCGGTCACCACTTACCACTCACCCCAGGGCAGGCAGCTGACGGGAGAGAGAAAGCGCGTGTCGGCCCCACACCTGGCTCCGCCCAGAGCGAGTGGGCTGGGGAAGAGCTGTCACCCCACACCTGGCTCCGCCCACAGAACGAGTAGGCTGGGGAAGGGGTGTCACCCCACACCTGGCTCCGCCCACAGAGCGAGTGGGCTGGGGAAGGGGTGTCACCCCACACCTGGCTCCGCCCACAGAGCGAGTGGGCTGGGGAAGGGGTGTCACTCCACACCTGGCTCCGCCCACAGAGCGAGTAGGCTGGGGAGGGGGTGTCACCCCACACCTGGCTCCGCCCAGAGCGAGTGGGCTGGGGAAGGGGTGTCATCCCACACCTGGCTCCGCCCAGAGCGAGTGGGCTGGGGAAGGGGTGTCACCCCACACCTGGCTCCGCCCAGAGCGAGTGGGCTGGGGAAGGGGTGTCACCCCACACCTGGCTCCGCCCAGAGCGAGTGGGCTGGGGAAGGGGTGTCACCCCACACCTGGCTCCGCCCAGAGCGAGTGGGCTGGGGAAGGGGTGTCACCCCACACCTGGCTCCGCCCAGAGCGAGTGGGCTGGGGAAGGGGTGTCACCCCACACCTGGCTCCGCCCAGAGCGAGTGGGCTGGGGAAGGGGTGTCACCCCACACCTGGCTCCGCCCAGAGCGAGTGGGCTGGGGAAGGGGTGTCATCCCACACCTGGCTCTGCCCAGAGTGAGTGGGCTGGGGAAGGGGTGTCACCTCCCACCTGGCTCCACCCACAGAGCAGGTGGGCTGGGGAAGGGGTGTTAACCCACACCTGGCTCCACCCACAGAACAGGTGGGCTGGGGAAGGGGTGTTAACCCACACCTGGCTCCACCCACAGAGCAGGTGGGCTGGGGAAGGGGTGTCGGCCCACACCTGGCTCTGCCCAGAGCGAGTGGGCTGGGGAAGGGGTGTCACTCCACACCTGGCTCCGCCCAGAGTGAGTGGGCTGGGGAAGGGGTGTCACCCCACACCTGGCTCTGCCCAGAGTGAGTGGGCTGGGGAAGGGGTGTCATCCCACACCTGGCTCTGCCCAGAGTGAGTGGGCTGGGGAAGGGGTGTCACTCCACACCTGGCTCCGCCCAGAGTGAGTGGGCTGGGGAAGGGGTGTCGGCCCACACCTGGCTCCGCCCAGAGTGAGTGGGCTGGGGAAGGGGTGTCACCCCACACCTGGCTCTGCCCAGAGTGAGTGGGCTGGGGAAGGGGTCTCACTCCACACCTGGCTCCGCCCAGAGTGAGTGGGCTGGGGAAGGGGTGTCACCCCACACCTGGTTCTATTCACAGAGTGAGTGGGCTGGGGCAGGGGCTGTGTCCTGGGGACAGCGGGGATGGCCACCCTGTCCTGAGCCAGGCAAGGCCAGGTAGGGAAGGCACAGGAGGGACCCACAGGCAGCACCCATCCCAGCCACAGACAACTCATTCTGCTCTAGTTCTGCTTCACCTGAACTGGGGTCAGGGTCAAGGGTCAGGGTTCAGGGGCAGAGCAGCATGGACACCTGGGGGTCCTCACAGGACCCTTTTGGGGTGGGATGGGCTGAGGCCGAGAGCCCGCTATGAAGGCACGGTGTGCAGTGTGAAGTCCCAGCCTCCTGCTCCTCTGTGGGCCGTGCCCCCTCCCCCAGCCCTGCCCCATCGCCAGGTGCCCCCTATTCTGGGCACTGCAGATCTTAAGGGCAACATCCAAAGTTTGGGAGCTGCACCGACTCCCCTGGGAGCTCCAGGCTGGGAGCAGAGATCCTAAGGCCTCCCGGGCAGGGGGAGGGGCTGAGCTGTACCGAGAGGGCTGTGACTGGGATGCTGACAGCTGGTCACAGACATGCTCTGGCCCGTGGTGAGGCAGCCGCAGTGGGACCCGGCACATCCAGGAGCCACGTCCTGTGGGCCTCCCTACTGGGTGGAGGCCTTGGGTGTAGTGCGGAAGCTGGGCCTGGCCCCATGGGGCTCTACGAAGCTGGTATCACCCACTGGCCAGCCTCGGATGAGCAATGACCCTCCGACCTCAGGCCCCTTGGTCAAGGGTGTAAAACTGGCAAGTGTCCTTCCTGCTGCCGGGAGGCACAAATGGGTGGCACCTACGAGCCCCCAGGGAACTCGAGGGAGAGACGCCCGACGAAGAGTGGGTCTGGCTGTGGGGACCTTGCACCTGCAGACCAGGACTCCCTCTGGCCACCCCGGGGCGTGTGAAAAGCCGGCTTGGCCACTCACTCACCAGCAGGTCAGGGAGCACCAGAGCCGTGAGCAGCCGGCCCCGCACCGCCGTGCCCTTGAGCATCGTGTACAGCCGCTCGGCCTCCGCACAGCAGGTGACATCCAGCACTACCGCGCCTGTGGCAGTGGCCCGGGACTCAGGGGGAGCCTGTCCCATGGCCCCCACAGTGCCCAGGCAGAACAGAACCAAGACATTTCCCCAGCCCAGGGCTGACCGAGGGAAAGGTCAGGTGCCACGTGACATCAGGGCTGTCCCACCCCACTCCGGGAACACCCTGGGCCCCATGTGACCATGTCCATCGGGGCAGCTCACCTTGGGAGGAGTAGACGTGACTCACAGACACCGTGGTGGCTGCAAAGGCAGGCTGTGGTCAGGGTGGTGGGAAGTGAAGGGTGCAGAGTGCTGGGGCCGGGGCCAGCCCCTCCGCCTATTCAGGGTGACATCACACCCCAAGGGCCACCTCCCCATGAAGTACCCCTGCCCCACGTCAGAAGCAGGGCTCCCAGCTCCCCAGAGGCACAGGACCCCCAGAGGGACAGGGAGAGGTGGAGGCTTTAGTACCACAGGGAAGGTCCACAGAGGGCGGGAGGCTCCAAAGCACCTTGCAGGAAGGGACACGGGCTGGGCCTGGCGCTCAGGCCTCAGTGGCTCAAGGAGAGGCAGGAGCCGGCCTCAGTACTGCAGCCCCACGGCCACCAGACCCCACCCCAGCCAGCAGCCCACGGCCAGCCATGGAGCTCACACCTTCGGCAGCCACGGCCTCAAGCAACAGGCTGCTGTACTCCTCGGGGGCCAGGCCGGGAGGCAGGCCGCCAACGAACAGGGAGATGTGCGCGGCCACATTCCTGCTCTCCGCCACGTAGAACCGCGTCTGACTCAGCTGCCGCACAGACACCTGCAGGGAGAGGGGCGAGGACGCTGGGCCGGGGAGAACAGACCACCGGCACCAGACCCTCTGCCTCCTCATCCGCAAAACGGGGGGTTGGGAAGAGTCCCGGAATCAAGTCAACATGAAAATGAGGAGGGGCCACGGAGGTCCCCTTGCTGTGGACAACCCTGTTCCCCTCGAGGACCGCAGGGAGGTCTGTGGCCCAAGGCCTCCTTGCAGGGACCAAGTAACTTATGACAGGGCACTGCCCCGCCAGCTGCGACAGCTGCTGCCTAGCTGAGGACTTGGCATCTGGGGCACACGCACCCTGCAGGGCAGAGGCTGTGGCTGAGGGCTGCTGGTTCCCTGCGGGCCGGCGTCCACATTCACTGACCTGCCGGATGTCCCGTAGCCGGGCCAGCAGGGGCTGTTCATCTGCCAGCACCGTCCGCTGGACTGCAGAGGTGAGGGGCACAGCCCGTCAGCACCAGGCTCCTCGCCCACCTTGGAAACAGCTGCCCTGAGCCCCCGGGGCCCGTGGGGATGCAGGGTAGAGCTGGTCAGGAGGACAGGGCCCGGCCTTGATGTCCAGCACCACCCTACGGGAGAGCCTGGGAGCGGCCCATGCAGGGCAGGTGCGGGGACCACCAGCCCACCGTGGGCTACCTACTCACCATGCCTGCAGCCCATTGCCACCTCGACCAGCTGGAAGCTCTCAGGACCCTCCGCCTGTTGGAGCAGAGGCCAGCATCGGGTCTGGGCAGGCCCCAATACCTCAGGACACCCACGGGGACAGCCACACCTGGGCTGGGATGGTGGCCTGGCATCCTGGGGACAGTGACCCCCCACCAAGTCTGGCCAGGATGGGAAGCAGGCCCAGGGTACACACCTGGCGGCCGAGCAGCGGCAGGACCTCCAGCACCACGGACTGGGCGGTGCTCTGCTGGGTCACTCGCACGGACACGTAGGCCACGCCCACCCTGTGAGGACGTAGCCTGAGCTGGAGCTCCCCCCACCCCACCCAGCAGACCCTGAGCCTCAGGCCCAGTCTCACTTGAGCCAGCCAGGGTAGATCTTCAGGACCTCCTGGGTCCGAGGCAGAGCCCGGATGACCCAGGCCTCCGGCGTGGCCTCCCCAGACCCTGGGCTTCTGCCCTCCTCCGAGATCACAGCACTCTCAGCCTTGCCCCCAGCCCAGGCGTCACAGGCCTGCGAGGAAGGGGGCAGAGGGCGCAGCTCCAGGTGGCCAGGGTCCTCGGGGATGTGGTGGGCCCGGAGCGCAGCCTCCTGCAGGACGTCAGGTTGGGGGAGCCAAGTTGTTGGGGGGTGATGTCGGGGAGGTGGGGGCAGGTGGGTGAGGGGTACCAGGTAGGGAGAGCCGGGTCAGGGGCGCCAGGTGCGGGACACACAGTGGAGGCGGGGGCTCAGACACCTGCCCCAGGCTCCCCCTTACCAACACCTCCTCCGCACTGGCTAGGCGGGGCACTGTGATGAGGCGGAACTGGCTTCTCCTCACCGCATCGTCGCCATCGAAGATCTTCATCGTTTTCTTCCCTAGGCCGGGGAAACTCCATGAGTCCCAGGCACCCAGGAGATGGTGGGGCATGGGGGGGGCACGAGGCAGACACTTACCAGACTCCGGAGCCACTGGCGTCTCTCTGCCTGGCCCCGCGGCAGCACTCCCGTCCGCGCCATCGCCCCCCTCACCTGCGGGATGGGCACACGGACCCCTCACTCAGTGTGCAGCCCCCAGCCCAGGGCGCCCCGGCCGGCCCATGCCTCACCTGGCTCCGCCGCCTCAGCGATGCGGAAGCTCTGCGTCTTACTGAAGCCGCCAGGCAGCAGGCGCACGCACGCAGGGGGCAGGACCAGGGAGCGGAGGCGCCCGAAGCCACACTCGGGGGCCAGGGCCGCAGAGCAGACAGAGTGCGCCTGGGGGTGCAAGGGCCTAAGCCGGGGCTGGGGCACCAGGTGTGCCAGGTCCAGGGAAAGACCCCACACACTGCAGACCCAGCCTAGACCCCGCGCCACGCCCCTCCTACCCTCCACCTCCACCTCCCGGTGCCCACCTGGACCCCACACCACTCGCAGCGCACACCGGCCAGCACGTCAGAGGAGCCGCACGCCTTCCGGCAGACCTCGCAGCGGGCTCCGGAGGGTAGGTTCCCCTCCCGCCAGTGGTGGTGGTGGGTGTCCTGGGGAGTGGGGGACAGTCAGCAGCTGGGCCCGCCCCACCCCCCAGGCCTCTCTGGGACCAGTGCACTCACGTGGTCCTGGTGCCCGTCCTGGTGGCATTGGCGGCAGTCACTGCAGGCGAAGGGCACACAGTCTGGGTGGAGGTGCAGCTCACACACTGGGGGGCAGGCAGGGTTAGAGGCCTCAGCCCCACCCTGGAGGACCCCTGCCTCCGTGGCTGCTTGGGTCTGGCCCTGTCTCCACCAACTAGCACCCCGAATCCTTTAACTGTCCTGTGGCTGCTGGGCAGCCAACCCTCGGCCTCCCCCATCACCTGACAAGCTGCACGGCAGGGGGTGGGCTGGGCCACTCTGGGCAACAGAGAGCAGGACGCTGGGAGGGGCGAGGGGAGCCAGGCGGGCTCCCTGTACCTTCACAGCGGAGCGCGGGCGCCTCCAAGACCTTGCGGCAGACACCACAGAACTTCCGCTTGTAGAGTCCGCGGGGGCCGAAGCAATGGGCCACAGCCACCTGGCCAGGGCAGGCACAGCCTCAGCTCCACGCTCTCGGCAAGGGCCACGGGCCGCCTGCCACCCACCCCTCCTCCCTCTTCACCTGCAGAACTCCTGCTGGGAACTGCCCAGCCAGAGCCAGCTGTGCCATCTGGAGGCCCCAGGAGCAACCACACTCCCAGTCCTGGGGGCAGCCTGGCTGGTCAAAAGCAGGAAGCAGGCTGTGGCCTCCCCCGGCAACCTGCCTAGCACCAGGAAGCCAGACCCACCTGCCACCCCTTCCCTCCTTGGGACAGGCGAGGCTGTCAGCTGCCTGGCATCTGTCTCCTCGGAGCCAGGGAGATCCCAGCACACGGGGACTGCCCTCTGGGAGACAATCGGGCCATAACGGGTGTGGATCAACACTGCTGTGCTGGGGAGGGCCGGGCTGCAGGTCTTCACTCCCGACTCTTGTCCTTATCCTCAGACTTAAACCACGCCCAATAAAAGCATACCCGGAAAGACCATGCTCCAGAATAGCAGCTGTGAGCACGCCAGAATGGTGGGTGCCTTTTATTTTGTTAAATATGTCTTCTAAATTTCCTGTCGTGCATATAGCTGAAACACATACTTGTATTTTCCTAATTTAGCAAAGTATAAAAAAGACATTAAAATCAACTTTAAAAAGCTGCAGCCTCAGGCTGTCCACGTGGGGCGCTGCCCAAGCCAATGTGGCGTCCCCAGGGTGCCAGCCACCACCAGAGCCAGCGTCCTCAGGCCTGGTACTCACAGCCCAGGAATGGCATCATTAGGAACAGGGCGTCAACATTAGAGAGGACAGCACAGCCAGATGTCCACCAGCGGCAGGTGCGCACCTGCCAGCCTAGCCTCCCCTCCTGCCGTACACCTGTGCCCGTCTCAAAGCCTACACCCCACCTGCAGCCTGAGCTCGGCAGGGAATGTGGACATGGGAGCCCAGTCTGCAGAGGGCGAGGCTGACAGCCGGAGGAGGAATAAGCCCGGCCCTTCCTACACGTCCCTGCTGTCACCACTGTCAGAGAAGTAAAGTCCCCTGGCCCAGTCACCTCCCTCCCCGACCCAGAGCCCTCAGAGGGAGGCTGGTGGCCAAGACGTCCTCAGGCTCCAGACTTTCTGCCTTTGCTTTTTATTCAAATTCCTTGATGCTTGTGGGTTCACACACAGCTGTGAGGACCCCTTGAGGCCTCTGTCAGCTCCCCCAAGTGTGCTATCTTGCAAACTTCAGTCAAGTCACAGTGGAGATGCTGACACCCGAAGAGGCCGAAATCTCCATCCTCCCAGGAGCCTTCAGGCTGCATGTCACAGCCACGCCCACTTCCTCCGCCCCTGGAAACCTCTCATCTGTGCTCACTTTAGTTTTGTCATTTTGAGCACGTTCTGTGGACAGGATCTTGCTACTTGCGACCTTTGGGACTGGCTTTTCTCCGCATTGTTCCCTGCAGGTCCATGCAGGGTGGGTGCTAAGCCTTTTAATCCCGAGCGGTATCTGCCCTTTGCCTTTCAACCGCAGGTACCAGTAACGTCTGACGCAAAGGGTCTCAGTGCTCGACCCGACAGCTGACACGTCCCCCAGCCTCTTGCAGCGGCAACACCCAACCCCACACTCACCCGGACCAGGCTGGGCGCCACACTCGTGCATGGGGTCCTCACGTGCTTCAGGCATTTCTCGTGGGACATGAAATTGCAGACTGTGGGAATGAGAGCTGCATGAGCAGGCCCGTCCCACCCAATGCTGTCCCACTCAGGACGTCAGAGGCCCCAGGGCAGCTCCCGCCATCCCCAACATGCAGCACCAGGGGCCCTGTGGTCCTCGAGTTCCCCCCTCACTGGGGAAAGCCTGCAGCCCAGAGTAGGGACCTGGGTGCCCGGACCATCCTAGAGGACAGTGAGCGTCCTCTCGTCCAGACGGCAGCCCCTGCTCCTCTGGCGGGCCCGGCACTCCTCCTGCCTCTGCATTTGGGCCTCTCAAGGGGCAGCCGAGGGCTCACCAGGCTCGACAAGCGGCAGAGACTGCTCCGGCTTCTGCACATCAGCTTTGCCAGGTACACCTGTCCCTCACTGCCCCGAAACTGCGTATACCCCTAACTGTCCCTGCTGTGTGCTGTCATCATGCCTCAGACCTGGAGCCACCTAGGGCAGCTGAGGGTGCTGGAAAGGCAGGAGCTGCTGGGGAGTGGGCAGCCCCAAGACTCCCAAGGAGCTCTGACTGTGTGCATGGGGCCCAGGGAGCACTTCAGCCAGCAGGGTGCTCAGGAGGGCATAAGAGCGGCAAGCACCACACCCCAGCAGTGAGAGGCGGGAGGGTGGGGCCGGGTCAGGAGGGAAGGCAGGAGCCCTGGGCTGGGGCAAAGGCTGCTGGGGGCTGGGAATGAGCAGGGTACCCAGTGACACACCTGCCAAGACAGCCCTGGGTGAAGGTTGTGCCACGGAGCCCCAGGCAGCCCAGCTGGGACAGGCCGCTCTCCCAGAAGGCCCTGCTGGTGCTGCCACACAGCACCCCTCACCTGGCCACCCCAGTCTCCAGATGGGACCAAGAGAAGCTCCTCCTGGCGGCTTAGGAGAAAAGCTCTGGAAGCAAGCTGGGGTCCGCCGAGAGAAGAAAGGGGGACAGGCAGCGCCCGGGTCCCCTCTGTCGTGGAGACAGGGCCTGCTCACCCCACGCCCCACACTTGGTTCTCCTGGAGGGGGAGGGCACCCTTCTTCCCACATCCCTGCCAGCCCCTCTTCCACGGGTGCTGCCCAGGAGGGCCCTTGTGCCACCTCCCAAGGCGGAGGGGACCCAGCGTCTGGCCTCAGGCTGGGAGCTGCCTCAGCCACACATGCACACCCCCACCTTGGGGGAAGCCCCTGGTGTCCCCAGGCAGCAGGCATGGCAGTGCCATGCTCTGATGTGACAAAGAAGCCGGCGGGCCAGGCCACCTTGTGCAACCCTAGGAACAACTGTGCCGTTTCCACCACAGGCGACATCCCTGTGTGAAGGGCCCAGTCTCCTCTGCAGCCCCTGGCCTGAGTGGTCCGCTATCCCCAGAGCAAAGGCCTGAATCTCCGAGCAGGGCAGAGGCTGCTTAGCCCCTCCCACCTCGGTGTCCCTGGCCAGGACACAGTAAGTGTCAAACGTCCAGGACTCCGGTCCTGTCCCTGGCTCCCTTCAGAGGCTGGGCTGTGGTCCCCAAGGCCTGCCTGCTTGCCGTAGGGGAAAAAGAGAGCCAGCCCTGGAAGCGCCCGGGCCCAGAGCAGGGAAGGGCCATCCTCACCCCAGCCAGGGCTGGGCAGCTGGGTGGAGCAGGGCGCGGCCTGGCTCTCCAGGAGGCTGGGGCTCCGGGCCACAGCATGAGAAGGGTCAGGGCCAGAGGCCCAGACCAGCCCCGCCTGACCACACCTGCTGCCCCAGCCGCTGGGAAAGCAAGCCGGCCCGGGGGACCCCAGGGGAGGTCGCGCGTGCATCAGGCACAGCCCCTGGGTCGCGGCCACCGCGCAGCACTATGGAGACACTGCCCGCACCTCCCAGGTGAGGAAGCCCCGAGACCCGGGCCCCACGGCGCACAGGCCCGGGCCGCCTCACGAAGGCAGGTCCCGCGGGCACGACCAGGACCCCGCCCCCCACCCAGAAAGCGCCGGCGCCACCTCGGCTCAGGCTCCCACCCACGAGGCAGGCGCAGGGGGCAGCCAGGCGGGCACCGGGGCCGGGGTCCCGGGCGAGCGCGTGCGTCCGGCGCAGGCCGTGCCCGCGGGAAGGCGCACGAGCGCTCACCGTCGCACAGGAAGCCGGCCAGCCCCCAGATGAAGTCGGAGCAGAGGTGGCAGAAGGTGGGCTTGGTGAGCGTCACCTTCCGGAAGCTGTGTCCCGGCGCGGCGGCGGGGCCCGGGGCTCTGGCGCCCGCCCGCTCCGTCCCCGGCCCCGGCCCCGGCCCCGGCCCCGGGCGCGCGCGGCCTCCTGCGCCCAGCACCGGGCTGCAGGCCGGGCTGCCGGGGCGCGGGGAGCCTCCGCCCAGCCAGGCGCGGGCCCCAGGCTCGGCCGCCGCCGCCATTCCCTGCCCGAGCGGCCCGAACCCCTCCGGGTCCGCGCTGAGGGGACCGGAGCCGCCGCTCCACCGGCCGCGCAGCGCAGCCCAGCCCGGCTTCCGACTGCGCCCGTCCCACTGCGCAGGCGCGAGCCTCGGGGCGGGGCCGGGCGCTGATGGTGGGCGGGGCGGGGGCGGGCCTTGCGGTGGGCGGGGCGGGGGCCTGCTACTGGACGCGGCGGTGCCCTGTGGGTGGGCGGGGCTGGGGGCGGGCCCTGTGATCGGTTGGGGCGGGGCGGGGCGGGGCCTGCGCGTGGGGTCCCCTAGCGAACCCGCCGCGGGGAACTGGTCCGCGTGGGCTCAGCCTGACCGCAGCCGGCCCAGACTTCCCCTCACGGGGCCTCCGGACGCCGCGCGCGCGGCGTTGCACCTGTGGCACCCCGGCCCGCGACTGCGCAGACAGACGCCTCCCACGCGGGACGCCCAGGCACCGCAGGCCTCCCAGGGTGGGCCCCGGGAAGCGGGATTTGCGGTGCGTGGGCGGCTCCGTCTGTGGGGCCCTCGCACGTGCCGACTTGGCCGTGCCCGAGGCCCAGGACCCTCTACCCCCCACCACTGTCCTCACTGCAACGGGGGACCCGCCTGCCGCCCGGGCTGTCCCCTCGCGACCCCCACCAGGGCCTCACGCCAAGCGCCCAGCTCTCCTGCCCCGCGCGCGCCCCAGCTCTTGTTCAGTGGCACTGGTGGCCTTTGGGAGTCGCGTCTACGCAGGTCACCCCTCCCCGCGGCAGCACTCCGGGGCCCCTGCCCCCATGGGCTTAACCGTGGATAGGAGTCTGCGCGGCCCGGGGACCCCATCCCGAACCAACGAGCAGGGACCCGCGGAGGCGGGCTCCAAGGCCAGCTGGGAAGGCAGTCCGGGATGAGGGGGAGGATGTTGGGGAGACGCAGGAAAGGGACTGCGGGCTGTGGAGGGAAGGAGCGGGCCGAGCTGCCGTGGGGGCTCCCCTGGTGGGGGCACCGAGGCCACAGGGGGATTCCGGGAGTGGAGGGCGAGCTGGGGACCCAGTCCAAGGAGGGAGGAGAGCAGGCCCCTGAAATGGTGGAGGGGAACTCTGTCCTCAACTCAGTCCTCAACCTGGGAGGATTCTGTTTGTCCAGAAGCTGTTGGTTAAGCTGCTGGGGCAGGGCCCTGGGTGGGCCCCCAGGTGAAGGCAACGTAGGGAAAGCTTCAGGGACCCCGACCCTCCAGGAGCTGTGCTTGACGGGCCAGACGCACACTGAGGAATGTGAGTGACCAGGAGGGGCTGTCTGGAGGCAGCGGGGGGATGTCCAGGCCGAGACCCAGAGCAGAGGCCTTGCGGCAGGTGCCTCTCTGGAGCCGACTCCTGAGGCCTGCCTGCGCTGGGAGGCCCAGAGTCACCACCCCTGAGTGTCCTGTCTCCTCCGCCAGCCCCCAACCCTGAGCCTGCCCTCAGCCAGGCCCCAAGACCCCTGTGCCTTGGCTCTGGGAGAGCTGGGACCCAGCCACGCTGCCCGTGAGGAGGTGTGGGCTCACGGAGCCCACGTCCCGCGGGCCAACTGCAGCCGACTTCTGAGGAAAAACCGCTTCACCGACATGCCCTTCACCATCAAGGAGACAGTGGACAGCGTCCAAAACGCCTGGAAAGCCCTCTTCTGACCATTTCTACCAGAATCTGGTGCTTTCTGACGCACACGTTAATTAAAATGGTGGGCAGCGCGTGCTTCTCTCGGATTCTCCACGGACTTCCTAGGGTGTCTTCTGAGGCCACCAGCTGCTTCTCGCTAGTGGGGCCTTAAAACTTTGAACTGCGGCCTGGACGTCAGCACCCGCCCGGATGGAGCTTGTCTGCGGCGGAGACAGCCCTGCACGGCCCTGGACTGTCTCGCCCGCTCCTCCTCCCTTTCCCGGCCGTCTTGGTCAGTCTGGGCTGCCGTGACAGGCGGCCACAGACTGGAGGCTTAGACCACAGAAGTGTGTCCTCAAAGCTCTGGAGACGGGGGTGCTGGCCCGTCAGGTTCCGGTGAAGGCCTCTCAAACCCTGCTCCTGAGGATGCCAGCGTGCTGAAGTCTGATCACACTGCAGATAAAACTGTCCCCCTAAATTCTATGTTGAAGTCCCAACCCCAGCACCTCACAATGTGACCTTGTTTGGAGACAGAGTCTTTGCAGAGTCAACCACGCTAAGGTGCGGTCATGAGGACGGGCCTCACTCCAGCGCAGCACGTCCTTACGGACAGAGGATCTGGAGACACAGGCTCGCGGGGAGAGGCCGCGGGAGGATGAAGGCGGAGGTCGGGGCGGCGCGTCCTCAGGCCAGGCACACGGCGGGCTTGGAGCTGGAAAGAGGTGGGGAGAGGACAGACCGGTTCTGCCTCCAGCCTCGGGAGGAGCCAGCCCTGAAACCGGAGCTCAGACTGCTTGGCGCTGAGCTGTCCGTGAGTAACCGTGGAAGCACAGTGAGCATTGATTCTGGGGTTTAAACACATTTAGCAAGCAGGTGTATTTGCAAATGCAGGATCTGTGAACAAGGCGGCCAGCTGGTGCATGTCACGTGCGCCCAGACCCCCCACACGGTGGCTTTTGGTGGTCCCAGCTTTCCCGCCATCCCACTGACCTTTCCCTTCCGCAAGGGGTGTGTCTTGTTTAAGCACCTGCATCCCCTGAGGTCTTAAAGAGGCTCCCCAATTGGGAACGGAGTCTTTTTACCTTTTACATTTACATCTGTGAGCCAGCCAGGACTGATTTGGGGGTGTCATGTGAGGTGGGGTCCATCTGCTCGTTGGGGACGCTCTCCCTACCGCTCTGGGCACCTCCGCCACAAGGCGGAGGACCAGGTAAACGCAGGCTGGAGCTTGCACGGGTTTCAGGAAGCCTGAAGTCGATGGGGATCTCTTTAAGAAGGAGTGCAAAATAATTGTTATAAAATTAGATGGAGGCCGGGCGAGGTGGCTCACACTGGTAATCTCAGCACTTTGGGAGGCTGAGGTGGGCAGATTGCCTGAGGTCAGGGGTTGGAGACCAGCCTGGCCAACATGGCAAAACCCATCTCTACTAAAAATACAAAAACTAGCCGGGCATGGTGGCGTGTGCCTATAATCCCAGCTACTCAGGAGGCTGAGACAGGAGAATCGCTTGAACCCAGGAGGTGACGACACAGTGAGCCAATATCGAGCCACTGCACTCCAGCCCGGGTGACAGAGCAAGACTGTGTCTCAAAAACAAATAAAATTAGAAGCATATTTATTCAGGATGAGAGAAGAGCTTGTAACAAATTAAGCATTTCTAAAAAATTGACTAATAGTACAAGCACCACGAGATCCAGAAAATACCATGACTTTTTCTTTGTGATGGTCTGCTATGATACCCTTTTATCCACTTTTTTATTATGTCTTACAATTTTGCAATATCATTTCCCAAAGAGAAAAGAGGAAGATGAAAGGTAATCCTCAGGCCGTCTAGCATGTGTGATTTTATTTTATTTTATTTCATTTTATTTTATTTTGAGACACCGTCGCCCAGGCTGAAGTGCAATGGCGCGATCTCGGCTCACCGCATCCTCCACCTCCCAGGTTCTAGCAATTCTCCTGCCTCAGCCTCCTGAGTAGCTGGGATTACATGTGCCCGCCACCACGCCCAGCTAATTTTTTGTATCTTTAGTAGAGACAGAGGTTTCACCATGTTGGCCAAGGTGGTCTCGAACTCCTGACCTTGTGATCTGCCCTTCTGGGCCTCTCAAAGTGCTGGGATTACAGGTGTGAGCCACTGTGCCTGGCCTAGCATGGCTGATTTTTTTAAAAGTGTGACTCGCTTTACAGAAGTGGACTGAATGACTGTTTACGTCATCCACATGGTGAAGCCTGTTGTGAAATGTGGAGGAAACTTGCTCAGGTTTCTCTCTTCTGCAGGCTGGTGGGTTTCGGTGCTGCCTTTTTTTTTCCCAGGTGCTGATCCAAGGCGCCCTCTGTGTCCATCAGGTTCTTGTGAGGCTGGTGTGAGGGTCCTGCATTCTCTCGTTGATGCTGGCATTTCCTGTTAAATCAGCAAGGTCTTTCCTCCTCTTCCAGAAGTTCCTGTGAGTCACTCCTCTTTGTTCATTGCCATGGTTGTTGCTGGAAGCTCTATCCCAGGACGTCTGGAAGGAAGTGGCCGGGAAGGGCATGGCAGACGCTGCTGACCCTGCGGATGTCTCCACAGCTAAACATCCCCATGCCAGGCCCCAGCGTGCCCACTGCTTCTGCAGTGCCAGCCCAGCAAGAGGGGAAGCTAGAGACAGGGTGGGACCCCTTGTGGTCAAGGAGCCTTCACTTAGTAAATTTTACAAAACTGTGTGCTGCCCTTGGAAAGGGCTCTGCCATCTTCCTCTGACTCCATCCCACAGTGTGGACCTGCTGTGCCGGAGCATGGCATGGCCTGGGCTGGCACAAGCCCTCTACAGGTCCACATTTTGGCAGTACCAGGCTCCCTCCCCAGGCAAAGCCACTGGCCTCTTCTCGCTTCCAGGGCTGATTTCTGGAAGCTGCACACCTTTGTTCTAAAATATGTACCTGGGTTTGCTTTGAATCAGGTGTGGTAAGGTGGCAGATGTG